CTATTGAATATGTTTGAAATTTTTCATGTGGAAAAATTTTCTCAGCCTTTTTGATATCCTACCAGTTCTTTAACTTATTCTTTAGATTCCACCTCTAAGATCTCCCAAGCTCTTGCCTGAGGTATCAGAAAACACTTTATCTCTTGTTATTGAATACCTGTTGAAAATTTCTACCAAGAAGTCTTACCAGCCAGCTTTAAAATCCTTGGATACTAGGTATTTTCTTCAGTATTCCATTTTAAAGGACATGGTCAGTGAAGGTACATATTGGACTAGTGATCCTGTTATAGACTCTGCCTTTTCTATTTTGTTTTCCTTTGCTTCTTTCTCTGAAGATCAACCTTGTCATATGGCCTTTCTTTCTACTCTCATCTCTTCTCTTCCTTCCATTACCAATTCTATTATATCGGAGCTCATGCCAACTGCTCTTAATAATTTATACTGTTTTAATTACTTTCATCTCTTACACTTTCTTTACTTTCCTTTACTGGTTAATGGAGATCACTGGATTCTTATTAGAGTTGGTATTCAATCTCATATTATTGAAATCTTTAACTTTTTAGGAGATTCCTTGGAGTCTAGTATCTTGAAGGTTTGTCATCTCATTCCTTAATATATTTACTTTATCATTAACCCCTATAACAGAAAATAAGGTTTTTCTTAAGACAACTCCAACTAGCCTCTAGGGCAGAAGCTCAGAGCAAGAATATTGTTTCTCCTCTGACTCCAGCACCTCTTGTTCTAAAGTGGACTATTCAGCAGCCTAAGGTAACTTCTTTTTCTTTGACCGCTTGATTTTTTACTAATTTAAATCAGTCTGGGCACCCTAGACAAGACAGGAATACTCTAGATTGTGCTTTCTTTGTCATGCAAACAACTCTCTTGTTACTCAAAGGAGAGGACTTAACCTATGGTCAGAAAGATATACCAAGTATAAAAAAATACTTTCTTAGTATCTTTCTTGCTAACATGGAACATGTTGCTGGAGATTTGAATCTATAATATTCCTGTAATATGATTTTCCCTTTTCTTTCTTTCACCTTTTACAATCCTGTAGTTATTTTATTATTTCTTTTTGTTTAAGATACAAAATCTGTTCCTTTTTTTTTCTTATTTTTTTCTCAATTATTATTTACAAACAATGTGATTAAGACAACACAATTAATAAATGTTCTCACATGATGCTTTTATGATATTACTAACCTCACTGTTTTCAACCATCCACTAAGAATATAAACCCACCCTTCTTCTACCATGGACAAAAATTTCCATCTTTCCTACAGTTCCTTACTCTTTGTTGATTGTTTCTCCTCCACCCTATCCTCTAACACAAATAATACCTTACTTGATTCTTTTTTTCATAACCTCTCTCTGATGTCTACCAAGGAATCAACTATCCAACTTCTTTCTACAGAGGATGAACTGAAATCCTATAAAATTGAACCTAACCAAGAGGAATATGAGAATTGGTCAGTGGACAAAGTTCACAGGACTAAGAATACTCTTCTGAAATTTGTTTGCAAGTATTCCTTATCCTAATATCTGCTTATAATAGTGGCACTAATATTTTAATGGTACAGATGATGAGATTAAGACAGTGGTAAAGCCAAGAATAGGAAGTATTTGTGATGGAAAAAATGTAGGGTTTTGTTTAATTCACAGAAGAAATGGGGACTTTACAGCAGAGTGGAGGCAGTGGTAGTTTGAGTTTAGCAGGTTTCCTGCATGTGAGAGGAAGGGCAAACCTTTTACCAATATTACTATTAGTGATTATAATTTTATAAAAGAGGGAATCACTAAAGGATGGTTAATGGTTGAAGCAGAGGATTGGGATGGACTTGAGGTATGTTATATTTTCATATTTCTAAAAAGAAGTAGGATCATACAAGGAATTACTAGGTTGGAGATATATCAAACAATTCTTACAGCTAAAAGAATTTTGTTAAGAGAGGTTTTCCTGGCTCCAAACACTGGCAAGAACTTTTCAAGAAAATTTCCCCCCCCCCCTCTGAGAAAATTTTCCCTACCACTGAGAAAATTTTTCCCAGCCTAACTCTTCAATCCTCTTTTCTCACAGGAAATCTCTCTTTTTTCTATAGAAATTCACTCCTACTTTACTTCTCTGTCCTTACTTATTCTTGTGTTTCTTGCAATTTTAGGAATACTTTACTGCAGGCATTCATTTAAGAAATCAATCTACTTCTACTCCTCTAGAACCTTCTTCTTCAATGCCAAAACCAAAAAGGCACAGAGCTACAACTACTACAGCTGTTGATCTTGTAAGTTTTTCCTCCTTTTTCTATTGCCTCACTCTGCTACAAACTTTTGCATTTACTCAACTAATTTGTATCTCAGTCTAAAAGATCCAAAACTGGCTCTGAAGTTCTCTCTACTTCACCTGATCTTCAATCTCAAGCCAATCCACTCCCTGATGCAGAGCAGTTCATACCTGATGTGCTATTTTCTGAGTTTTTACATGAATTAGACAAGGAGGAGGATGGTAGTATGTGTCAAGAATCTTTACAATCTTCTGGTAACCATAATCTATTTAGAAAAAATACTTACTTTCTGTACATGTTTAAAACTTAACTATACTCTCTAGATGCAAGCTTCTTGAAACAAGGATATCAACAAACAGCTCCTACTCCTGGTGGTCCTTCTTCTGTTGGTTCAAACAGTCCATTTCTAGCTATCTGTAATCCTCAGCCTTTTACAGAACCTCACTTTTCTCTTCAACAGGTTAGTGAAAATCTCTAACAAGATAATAATTGTCTATTTCTAATGCATGTAATCTATAGTTTGCTGAAGGAGGTTATCCTGATCCTCTTGATCCTTCAAAACCTTGGGCCTTACCAGATCCTTTACCAGAAAATCTGGATCCTAACTCTGATAGTTATGGAAAAGAGGTTAAGGACTTGAAAGAAGTAATAGAGAAGCAGAGTAAGTTTCTGAGTACCTACCATTCATAATACTTAGTAATTAATTATTTGAATAGGAGCTATTGCTTGTTATCAGAGGCAGCTGGAACTTTCTATCTACTTAAAGAGCCAAGGTCTTAACCTAGTTGAGCAAGATGCTGTAGTAGTTGGTCCTAATGAAGTTGTTGTTGCTAAGGCTCAGTATCAGCAGTTAAAGAAAGATTCAAAGGCCATGGGAAAAGAGGTCAGAAAGCTGCTTGCAGAGAATACAAAACTGAAGAAGGAGAAGGAACAATGGACTGAAAATGAGAAGATTTGTGAAGAAAAGAAGGAGAAGAAAAAAGGGGAAATGGCAGACCTAACTGCAAGATTGTTAGGCATGATGGAGGACCTATAAGGGATTGGACTTTCAAGTTATCCTTTAATGTTGATAATATTTAATGTTCTTGAGTATTTAATTATTTTTAAACTTTTTTAAAGTAGAGGAAAATTGTATAGAAAAGAAACTTGTGTTGAAAGAAGAAATTTAATAGTATGAAAATTTTCTCAGGAGGAGGGAAACTTTTCTTGAAAAATTTTCTCAGGAGGAGGGAAAATCTTCTTGAAAAATTTTCTCAGGGGCAGGGAAAATCTTCTTGAAAAATTTTCTCAGGGGTAGGGAAAATTTTCTTGAAAAATTTTCTCAAATTTTCTCAGAGTTGGGAGAAATTTCTAAAAATCTTTTATAAAAAATTCAAACAATCCAGTACAAACATATGACTCTTAAAGAAAACTACCTATTACATCTCTTTTTCTGATATTTTTCCAACACTTGTAAGCCTTGCAATTTTCCCATAAACAACTCACCTGGTGATTCATAACTATCTGGTATTGGACTGTAATAGTCAATACTCCACTTATCCCACTTGTCTGAACTAGACCCTTTTTCTGGTAGAGTTCTCAATCCTGAACTCATTCCCCAAGAGGCATGCTGCAGTGGAACCCAATAGATCTTAGAGTCCTGTCCTTGAAGTGTCTTTTTTTGTAGGAAGCAATGCTTTGCTGGTGATGGTAGAAGAAAATTACTTCTTGCAAACTGTGTTTGAACCAGAAGATACTCCCAACAGTTTGCTGTCTCTGTATCACATACAGCTGAAATCATAGAATAGCATTTCTGAAAATAGAGTCTATAACTCTTATCCTTCCATGCCTTCCTAACTTCCTGCTTTTCCCACTTGTCTTCTGAATGAAATAAGATCTCCCATCTGTCCTGAAGACTCAGTTTGTGCTTATTAGAATACCTGATTCTAGCAAACCTGCAGGGTGCAAAGCTAAGAATATTCTCATAGTCCAGAGCCAGTTGCCCACTAAGAGCCAGTTCTCTCTTGATCTCTGCATCCTCCTCCTTCCACTCAGAATCACAAAACTTAAACAGTGCTGTCCAAACATCTGTTCTAAATCTCTGAATCACCATTGTTCCTAAAAAGGCAAGAATCTTGTAGGTCTCCTTACTGGAAGGGTCTTGAATCTTCTTCAACACCTCTCCAAACCTTTCCAACACCTCCCATTGTGACTTCTGCTCCAGTAAATGTTTGGTCTTGTGTAGGGCAGTAGGATGGATTT